GAAAGTCCATAAATGGTAGCCAAAAGTAACAACATATCTTATTTTAATCTTGATCAAATAAACCAATTTTATATTCCTTCCTTTTACTTTTAACAGACTTAGTCTTTAGTTTGTTCAAATATTGTCATAAGATTTGATTCCTCTTCATTCCTTCTTTGTCCCATTGCACAGAGTTCTTCAAGGCTTTAACAAGCATCTTTTGTAAATCCAATAGCAAAAATTATCCAGGCTGCTCTCTTGGTTTGTCATTTGTACTTTCTGTAAACTTTTAGAAACTTGGTTGTTCTCCAGGCTTTGGAATAAGATGATGGCCAAGTCAGTATGAGTAATGGTATGTGGGAATGACCTTCAAGGACAAGGGGAAGAGGTGCTGACTAGGGAATGATCTGATAAAAGGGGGAGGAGCCCACAACTGCTTAACAGGCAAAGAAGGAAACTTAAAAAGGATCTGCCCTAACGTATCAGGCTGTTAAAAGTGACAGCAGGAGATTTGTATTTTAAAACTTGCAAATTTCTGTTAATGTAGCCTTACAATAAATTAGAATTAGCTCATCTGGTCATATTTCCTGTCTGGTTTACCTGGGAGGGCTGACAATATGGTTTTGGGGTTTTTTAGTGATATGGAGTTGATCTTCCAGTCAGCTGTATTCTTTTTTGATATATGTTTTTTTCTTTTTGTTTTAAGCTGCCCAGAATTGTTGAGAAGTTGGGCAGCCTCAAAATTGAATTAAATAAAATAAATAAATATCTGAGGGACCCCCAATCTGCCAGTAGCATCTTAGTACACAGTATGGAGATGGCCTAGAAGGAATTCAACGACTGTTATATAAACATCAGCTACACAAGAGAGGGTGAGAAGAAACTCAAGATTGCCCAGCCTTAATTCTCCTTAGTATGAGAGGGAGAGAGAGAATCTCTCTCAGACTTTCAGGATTCTATTATTATACACTGTAACAATGAAGTAGGGTTCCCTAACTTGATCCATCTTGAAGAGCTGACATATCTCCCCACCCAATAAGATTCTGTAGGGTAGGTTCGCTATGAGTCCCCTCAGAGATTGTCACTTCAGGGGTCACATAAGTGAGACTTTTCAATCACATCCTCTGGAATAGCATTCCTCCCAATGTGCAATTGGGTCCTTCCTCCCAGGTTTTTAGAACATTAGTGGAAACCTGGTTTTTCCAGTTGAGATTGCCTCTTGGGTCACAAGATTGAGTCTTTTTACTATTGTCAATTATTTTATTCATTATTCCTAGTTATTGCCTCTTGGGTCACAAGATTGAGTCTTTTTACTATTGTCAATTATTTTATTCATTATTCCTAGTTCCACAGGAACACTATGTGATTGATTGATTGATTGATTGATTGATTGATTGATTATGTGCCACCAAGTTGTCTTCAG